CTCACTAGGAGGGATTAAATAAGGTAAATTTCCATCATGCACCTAACAAAAGTTGGCACAAAGAATTACCCAGGCAGCAGCCACATTTGATTGATCACTGTCATTTTCTTCTCAAGAACAAGTCATCTGGGTGGCCTATAACAGATTACATAGGAGAGCGTCTAGACAGAGTCCCTCTTAGAAGGAAATTAAAATCATGATGCTCTAGTTGGGAGGCAACAATTCCAAGAGGGATAATGAACACAGAATCACAGAAGTTGGGACTGGGGGATTTATAAGAGAAAAAACTGATGATGATGCTGAAAGTTGTGTGAAAACAAAGTTGTGCTTGAGGCAGACCTGAATAGCTACTGGACTTTATAAACAGGGGAAGACCCCATCAGGAACTTGAAGGCTATTTGTCAGTTTGAGTTGCAAATGAATGTTTTGCAAGCAGTCACTGCAGGATCTGTCCTTGCTTTAAAGTTCAAGCATCTGTTTGGACAGAAAGGAGAAAGGACAGATCTACAAAAGGCTGCTTCTGCCTTAGAGTAAGGATTTTTCCTCTCCATTCCTCCTCAGTTTTTCACAATATTACTGTAAATAGCAGCCAGTTTTCACAACTTACCTGTGGCTTCAGTAATCTTAGGAGAGTGTGCATGGTGCTTTTATAAAAGACATGAAGTACAATTTATCCATTGGATTGGTTGTAAAAATGTTTAACATGCTGGTTTCTCTGCCGTGTCTTTGTTTTGGTAACACACTGAAGCAATACCTCTCTTCATCTCAGCTGGAAAACACAGATCAAGTAAACGTGAACAAAACCCGATGTTTAAGTCTAAGGCTACAATTTTTGTTTGCTTTTCAACATCACTTTTCATTGTCACTGAAGCTTGACTATGCCCAGACTTCACAAAGAAGGAGATCCTGGACTGTGTCTACTTCAGATGGTGAAAGACAATGCCTGACAGAACAGCTTATCTGCCCACCCAAAATGCTCAGAGCACAGCCAAGCCATTAGAGAAGCTTGATAGGGAGTGACAGACAAAGTGATACTGATTAGCTCTCCGAGAAATGCTTTCTAAACTTGGTAGAGTTAATACCTTCTGCTTGTTAGGAACTTGGTTAGTTTGTCAGAACTAAGGGACATTGAGAGAAGGCAAGAACAGCACCAGGGAGGCAGGATGAACAGTAGAGAAGCATTCCTTCCTTTGCTCCTTGAGTATTCTGATGACGGAGATAATTTAACTCGAGACACAGATGCTCAAAAGCGGTGAAATGTCCCCTTTACTCTTCTCCCAGCACAGTACCCTAAGGACATGAATGACTTTTCAGACAAAATTTGCTCAGCCTTTCCTCTCTCCTGGGCACTTGGCCACATAGGAGGTAGAGAGCAGAGGGAAGAAAGACAAGGAGAGAGACCACAAAACATGCCTACATGGTTTGTGTGGGGTTAAGGATATTATCATCAACTTGACTGTGGTCACTCCTTTGGTTCATATTTTCTAATGTCCTGCAGTTTCCCCTGTCTGATGCTAACTCCTAGGCAGGGTAATAGGACCTGCACTAGGATTGGAAGATGAAGGCACTGAAGTCATCTATTAATCTGAGTGGCAGACTGCTCGCTGCTGCCATTCCTACAGGCCATCATTTCTCTTTCCCCTGGACTTCAGATGTTGCTTGCAGCCGTGGAGAAAGGGAGCACATGGCCTCAACACACAGACTCACAAAAGGCTGTGGCTCACCCCCACTTTCTCTGCTGTAATTGGATTTGGAAAGCAGGTGGCCAGCACTTAATCACAGAAGCAACATCCTTTACAGCAGGCAGATTTCCCTGCACACAGACATTTAGAACTCTAGTTGGAGATGGAAATATGACCCTGAAGGAGAATTCTGTCTTGGAAAGGTGGTTGAGGCTTGTTAAACCTTTACATTTTTCTCCTTTCCACTAAATCTAATTTGTCCATAAAATTTTCCTCTCAGTCCACAAGACCATAAATCATAAAACGTACAGTCTCGTTCACATGTGTGGTAACTCCACTCCTGAAGGAATCATGCTGAGACTGCAGAAACACCGTTTTGTTTCCCTTCATGGTAACAGGATGAGAATATACTCTCACAGAGGTAGCAGATTCTCAAAGGGTGTTTTGTTAATGCCCCATTTTAATCAAAGGGAGAACTGAAGTTATTTATTCAACTTTTAACAACAACAAAAAGATTCAGAAATCATTTCCCAAGCTAGTCCACGCCCCTCTGAACTCTTTACAGTCCTTTGGACTATTCTGGATTTTATCAAGAAATATGACGTCATGTAGACTAAGTTTTTAGGCCCTATCTTGTTTTGAACTCAGGGCCTTGTGCATGCTAAGTAGGCATTCTGTCCCTGAGCTTTAGGCCTTGCCCCAGGGCACCCGTTTCATGCTATAGTATGTTTAGTAAGATTTTATCAAATGGAAGGAGAGTGGAGAGCTTCCTGGGCAGATCTGAAACAAACCAGAAATTAGTGCAGTTATTATCAGTGTTTTGGTATCTTACAATATCATTCTAGTTTCCTAGTTCAGGTTGTCTACACAGAAATCCAAAGGTGTGATCTCATTGCCCATGGTCACTTTTGATTCACAGTTTTCATTTGTCTTTGTTTCAAGTAAGAAAAAGTGAGACATCAGGACAAACTCTCTATAGGCACATGTGTCCTGGCTATGGAATAAGACATATTCTGGTGCATCTAAACTAGAGTGACATCTCAAATGTTGGCATGCATTGACATGTGTTATTTCAGACATATTTTTCTTATTATACTGGGGACCATGATTTGGGAAATTTACAATAATGTAAATCAAAGGCCACACCCAGCACAATGGGGACAGAGCGCTATAAATTTTTGATTGTGAAGACAACAGGCTGTTTTAATATATGGTTGTACTTTGAGCTGTAATGAGAATGTGAATAGTTTAAAGAATATACCAAATCTAATGACTATAAACCATAGCGAACCAGCAAGAAGGGCAAATTTAACATTTTTCAAATAACAAATATTCAGTTTCTGATTATGAAGTTTTGCAACATGAAGGTTTTCTGTATAATTTTACTTGTTATTGCAAGTAATTGAACATTTTAAAGACGTGCTTTGGTGAAAACTCATTACATGTATTCTTAAACTCATGAAAATAACCTCTTTTAAACACGTTTTTATATTCATCAAGTTTTAAAAGCACACTTTCTATTTTGATTATTGTAGCAAAATACCATGACTGAAGTAGGGTTGTATTACAACTCCAGATACAGTATAAGAAAAACAAAACCCATCAAATTCATCTCTTATAATGCTGTACTCTTGAAGTCAAAGCTAAGGGCAATAGCGGATCAGGTGTCGGGCTAGGGCCTGGTTCATAGAAGCAGGTATGTATTTGCTCTCACATGACGACAGACAAGAGGGGAAGGACATGTCTGAGGGCTCTTTCCAGGGACCCTGGACCCATTCATCAGTGCCCTGTGTTCATGACAGCATTTTCTAAAAGCCTTATCTCCCAACACTGTCCTTCTGATTAGATCTCCTATGAATTTTAGGGACACAAACATACAGACCACAGAAACACAAAAGTTTCTAAAATGTATTTGTAACATTTGCTTTCCATCTCCTAGACATGGTGCTAAATTCTAAAGTCATTTTGTGTACCATTTTTTAGGGAGCTTTAAGTTAAATCAGCTGCAGAATTCAGAAGGGAAAAGTGATCTGGGTTATTCATGTCTCAAGGGGACAAAGAAATAGAGCAACCATGTCCTACCTCCCTTCTCTGGGAGGAGTCAAGGAGATCATTGTTCTTCGGGTTTAAGTTGAAGGAGCTTATTTTCAAAATATATCCACATGACAGTGTGCTATGCATTACTTTTCTACAGGACTCAATCCCTGGAACTGTCAACTCCTTCACCTTGCATTTCTCTTCCACTATGAGCAGACCAACTCTGTTGCACGGCTCTGTGGCTTTCTGTAGCATTGTCTGCCTCACCCTAGCCACTCACTGTCTAGCTTTCCCAAAAGTGGAAAAGAGGGAGACAGCACATGCTCATGGGGAGACACAGCAGTCCTGGGAGATGAACACGGGTGACCAAGAAAACATCTCCTCTGCTCCAAAGCACATGTCCCAGCAGATGCCCTCTGAATCTCCTATGGTGCTGTCTGCAGGATCATCAGTGATGCAATTAAATAAAGTAACCTCTGTCAACAAAGAACGCCATCTTCCAGGAGCTGGGCTTCTGCATCCTGACATCCCTGATCTTCACTCTTCCAGTGAGCCAGTGATCTCAGCCAGTGAAGAAGGGCATGGTCCCAGACAGCTTGCAAGGATGTCTCCTGAACACAGAGTTTCTAAGGCCATGTCAATCATTGCTGTCTCTTCCCCTACTTCTCTTAATCCTCACCTGGAGGGACCACATAGCAGTTCTAGCATCCAGCCCATTAGAGAAGGGATCACAGACGTAACACGTGACTTCCTTAAGTATGTGGATAATGAGTTGTTTGCCACTGAAAGTCAGGAAGCAGTTAGCTTGGGAAACACAGCTACATCTTATATAAAAACCAAAGAAATGCTAACTGCCAATCCAAGAACTGAGAAATTTGAGACAGATGCATCCAAGGGGATGACTGCTGTTCCTAGTATTGATTCCACAACAGACACAGAGCCTGATGGGAAGAGACCCTCAGAGAAACCAGGTGGCAATTCCCAGACCACTGCCACCACACACTTAGTGTCAACCCCTGAGGATATCTTGAATATTGATCCAACAACTGGCAGTCTTCTGGGGGACCTCAAGGTCACAGTGAGTGCCAGCACAGCTGTTCCTGTTTCTTCTGTCTCAAGTGATGAGTGGGATGACACCAAATTTGGGAGTGTAGGTCTCATAGGGACGCCAGATTCAGGAGACAATACAGAGACTCAAGTGAGTACGGAGCCCCCACATGAAGCATATGAAAACTTTGAAGGGGCTGAGGGGACCCTCACTTCCACAGAGGTTAACAAGGTGGCTCCGGGGCTGCCTGAAGGAGAAACGCCCATGGGAACAGCCCTGATGATTGCACTGGAGGAGGAGAGATCACCTGATTATACCCACCAAGCTCCCTTTACTCCCACGAGTCCAACAGAAGACCCTGAAGTTTCCACTACGAACCCGTTCCCAAGTGCTGGAGGCTTCACAGCACCCACTCTGGAGGATAGGACCACGCTTTTCTCAAAAACCATGGTTTCTACCTCTCAGTATGAGTCTGACGCACATCGGGCAGCAGGAAGTGTGCCAGAAGGTAAGAGGGAAATGTAAAGACATAAAACAGCCACAAAACACCCCCCAAACATTCTTTAGATTTGGAAACTTTCAATTTGGATTTATTTTTTTATTTTTGAAATTTTTTGAGATAGGATCTCAAAAAGGATTCCTTGACTTCACTATTTTGCTACCTTTGCCCCTAACTGCCAGGACTAAAGATGTGTGTCATCACTCCTGGGTGTTTTTTTGGTTGTTTGTTCATTTGTTTGTCTGTTTACTTCAGTTTTAACCTTAAACTCACCATGTAGTTCAGTTGACCTCAAACAAAATCTGTCTTACTGCTTCCCCAGTGAGCAGTGAGATCATGGATGTGTGCTGCTAAGGTAGACTTTGGTTTTACTTTTTTCTAGGTGACTTAGAAACAGTTACTCAAATTTTAATCAAACACAGAATACTCAAATAAATCATATATATTCTTTAAAAAAAACCATAGCCTCCACGTGTTACATTCTTTAACTAAGGGCAGTTCCATGCACATCCTAGCCCTCCTTGGAATTCTTGGCAACATTTGGAGATGTTTTGAGTTGTTTTGGCTAGGGGTTACTTCTAACATCTCCTGGCTAGGGGTCAGGGATGCTTTAGAATATTCTACATCTGCAGGACAGCTTCCAGAAACAGGTGTCACGTGTCTCAGCCAACAGCATTGAAACCAGTGTAGAAATACATATAAAAATGTTAAGGAAGCAGGTATATATTTCAGTTCTGCAATAATGTGTGATACCTGTTTATACCTCATTGCAAAATATATGCACATCTTTGATATTTCTCACCAAAAATAATTAGGTAAAATTTATCTTGTAGTATTAACCACTTGGGTTCTCTGACCTTATCTACTCAAAAATAAATTGTTTAGAAAGTATATGGAAAGAAAATATAAATCATCAACTTGATTTATTCTTAATTTTCGCCTTTTTCTTAGCCTCGACATCTTTGAATATTAGAAGGTGAAACCCTAATATTGGTTTGATGAATTATGTTTTGTTATGTGGTTGATTACATAATAGCATCCGGAAGGAAAGACTTTGTATAAAGTGCATATACTCACTTGAAATTGCTTTAAAATATACAACATTTTCACCTGGACCAAGGAACCTACTAAAGAAAAGACAAAAATAAAACAGATTTGTAATATGGCTCATAAAGTTTTCTTGAGATGTAATTAAAATGGTAAATGTGATCATTTGATAAATAACAAAAGTAAGACTGAATAGTTTACATGCCTGCTTGAGTTTTTAGGTTTTGTTTGCTTGTTTGTTTTGTTTTGAGACAGTATTTCAGGTTCTGGGACTCACACTTGCTAAATAACCAAAGGTGGCTTTTATGCCTGGTTCTCTCACTTCCCTTTCTTGAGTGCTCTGATTATAATTGTGTGTTATCATACTTAGTTTCTAATTCATTTTTAGAAGTCTAAAGGGGCTGAAAAGTGTACCTTTTCATAGATGTTTTCAGATCATGTTTTATAAGTTCTATTTAAACTTTTTGTGAGGGGACAGTTTCTCACTTTGTAACCCTGCATGGTCTCAAATGTAGAGGTCCACGTGTTCGCATCTCAAGACCCGAGGAAAGGCATGCACCACCACTCACACCACTCACAGCATACTCTGCTTTTAAAAAGACACCGAGTGGAGCTCGTGTAAGCATAAAGTTGATTACTAAGATGAAACAATAATTTTACTTCAGTTGTCCATAGCACTTATGTTCCTAGAACATGAAGTCACATGGTCCCTAGCATATATTACACCAGCACATCTGTATTGTCGTATTTTGGACTTTTACAATTGCAAGCTAAAAAGTAAGATGGATTTGATAATATTCAGGCTATTTGGTGATTAACTATACTTTCAGTAATAATTGCATCACTTACCTATGGTTTTGAGAACAGGCTTGATGGTTAAGAGTCCCTACTGCTCTTGCAGAAGACCTGAGCTTAGTTCCCAGCACCCCCATCAGGGGGCTCACCTGGAACTCCAGGTCCAGGGAATCCTGCATCCTCTTCTGGCCTCCATGGGCACCTACACTAATGTGCACACACACGCACAAACACATACTTAAAAATAAGACAATAAAGAAAAAATGTCTGCTGAAAAACTGCTTTGTGCAAGGTACTGTGCTTCATGTTTGGAATATAAAGACTTTGCCTGCTTCAAAAAAAATAAAAGGAAGGAAGGAAGATTGTAGGTAAATATTTTTCTCAAGAAACTGAAGGTTAAAGATGTTCAGTAATTATCTTAGGATTACAAAGTTAGAGAGTATTTGAATCAAAATTCAGACCCAAGTAAGATGGCTCTGTAGTATGTGTTCTTGTAGTATGTGTAGTATGGGATAGGTTTCCATGGATGGTGTTACTATCCTTCTCCTTTAACAGATGTGGAAGGATAAATTAAGAGTGCACACCACATCATGACTGCCCTGCCTGTCCATCACAGAAACTAGGTGTACACTGGTTGGCGTAATTATTATTTTTTATTTTAAATTGCCAACTTCTTCCTTCCTTTTATATATGCAGATGTGAACATTAATATGGGAAAATACTTCTGAGAGATTTTAGTGTGACTCAGTTCTTTATAGTTGATCTTTTGATTCAACCAGCTCTCAAGTATATCTGAAAAGCCCAGCTATCTGTCTTCCTATTTTGCTTCAGTTTTATTCTAGATTTTTGTTTATTTGTTTGTTTACACATTTCCTTCTTTATTTCTGCCTTAGATTGCCCACAAATCCCCCAAGCAGCTCCAATAACTGGCCTTTGATTCCCAAATTGTCTTTGTTGTTCTGGTTTCTGAAACAGCTATCTACCCTTTTTCAATTAATTGACCTCATAGTGACTTCTATGTATCAGAATTTGGTTTACTTAAAAATGTTTTCCTCCTTTTTAGACATCACTCAAGAGATGACAATGTCCACTCAAGAACCAGACCCCACATTACCCTTGGTGACACAAGAGCATATTGAGGTTCCCAGAGGCAGTGGGGAGCCTGAAGAAGGCATGCCATCCCCCGCTCCTGTGTCTGCTGATGTGGATGCCACTGAGCTGTCCAGACAATGGGTGTCTCTGGCCACTCCAGCCCACCCCACTGTTGTCCCTTCGTCTCTCGAAGTTACCTCTTCTATGGAAGGTCAGTAGGGGAGTGTGGGGCCAGTGTTTGAAGGAGGAGTGTGGGCTTTACTGTGAGTTACTGGGATTAGTGAGGATTCTGGCCTTTCACCGGCATGCATGTGTTCCCTCCCTGGAAAGATGGTCAGCTCTCTGCTTGTAGAAATGTGCTGTAGCCTCAAAGGACTCTTCTGTTCCCCAAGTACAAGCCTCCTGAGGACTCCCTCCTAAGAGCCAGTGTGAAAAATGTAAAAATAGCGAGGACTTGTGTTTGGAGTCACCTTTGACTGTGACCTCAGGAAAGCTGGTGAACTTTTGTAGGCCTCTGTTCATTCCCAGTAATGTCTACTTAGGTTATGGCTTTCTGTATTATAGACTGTGAGGTGTCCTGCTCTATCAAGGGAATATGTATATACTTAAGAAATATATATATTTCTTCATTTCTCTGTTTCACCATTATCCAAGTAAAGATAAGATATTCATTGAGATAGTTTTTTAAATTTTTAGTAAATACTTTCTAATCCTGCCTCCTGATCCCCCTTCCAAAACAAAACATGCAAAACTCAACTCTGGAGTCTTGACAATAACCTTCATTTCCCTAGTGCCAGGTTTCTTCCCAAGCCCATAGTGGCTCTCTCTATTAAGATATGTCTTTCATTGCTCCTCCATTGCACCCCTCCCTGCCTCGGCCATCTTGTTCCCTCTTGTTCTCCTCCACCTTCATGAAATCTGTTGACCCTAACCCTACATGTCTCTCTTCTGACTGGGAACCAGCGTTATCAATTTTGTTTTCATCATCTCCTTCTCTCCACACTACCTCCAGGTTTTCTGTATCTATAATTACTATTACAAGTACACATTTTCATTTCTTTGTTGATTCTAACTTTATAAGAAAAAATTATAACACAGAAAGCAAAAGACCCCGAGACTGATAATGGGGTTAAAGCCAAGGGTCAGGTAAAGAAAGAAGCCAAGCCACTGGCTCTTACTCTACCTCAGGCTGAAAGGGCTGATCCTGTCTCCACGATCTCTCCACTAAGCCTCAGACTGTAACCTCTCCTCAGAGCGGCTGGAGAATCCATCATTCCTATCCTCAATGTGGGTGGAGAATGAACGCCAGCTCTGAGATTCTGTTTCTGTCTTAAATACCTCTCGTGAGTTCTGGGATTAAAGGTGCGAGTTTTGTTACTCTCATAGACCGATTCAATTGCATGTAGCCTGGGTGGCCCTGAGCTTCTGTCTCCTGAGTCCTAGAACTAAAGGTGTGTGCCATCACTGCCTGGCTTCTATGGCTAACTAGTATGACTGCTTTGCTCTTTTGATCTCCAGTGGCTTTAATAAATCATATACAATATATCACTGCAAAAAAACTGTGCTACGGATAAATTTTTGGGAACTTTGTATTTTAGCTTACTGTTCTGATTGTCATACATTCTGTAGTTTGTTGTTCTGACCATTGTATCATACGCAGTTATGGAAACACATTTCATTATTCATCTGGTCTCCATCTGTGCTCCTGCTGTCTGCATTTGGGCCATTTACAGGTATAGCTGTTGTGAGTACAGCTATTATGGTCACGCTTCTGCATGTTCTGCATTGGACCTGTAAAGGACTGTCTCATAGATAATGGAGATGCTGGCCACAGGATGTATGTGTATTTGGCAATAGGGACCAATGTCTCCTTTTCATAGTGGTTGTTGTACCAATATATATTCCCATAAGAAATATAAGGGGGTCCTCTGGCTCTGAATCATAGGAATTTGTCTCTATCTCTATCTATATATCTATATCTATGTCTATATCTATGGACATATTCCCTCTGGCTCATGGATATAAACTTGGGCATGTGTGAATTCTGTCTAGGGAGATTCTGATGATTCAAGGTATGATTGCTGTAATTTCTGTAGATGTGGGGGCTTCATGTGGATGCTTTGAAATAGAGTCTACTTTAGTTACAGTTCTAGGTTCAAATGTTTCCACACGATTTTGTGAAGCATACTTGTTCTTTCCAAAGTAAACCCTGGCATTTAATTTGGTGCATGTTCTGCCTTTGGTCCCCTATACAAAATTCTATGCCATCCATTATACTGTCAATCGAATAAATGGGAGATTAAATTTTAAAAGCAAAATTATGATTTGAGGCTGTGCTTCTCCCAGGTGATGAAGTGTTTTCCGTGTGTAGCTGGGTTGACGGGAGAAGAGGAGTTGGACTAAGTGCTGAGTTTACTGTGTTTGAGACACTGCTTCCTTGCTTTTCAAAGCATATGTTAACACATTCTGTAATGACGGTCTTGTGTGTCAAGTCTTGTCTCTTGTACTTGGCAGACATAATGGACACAATCACTGTGCCAAATGAGGACTTCATACCATTTTTGGGCTCTCCAATGACATCCCCTGCAATGACTGTGGAAGCTCCCACAATTTCTCCAGCACTCTTTTCTGAGGGAAGAATTGTTCCATCTATCAACTACCCAAATACAGCCACCTCCTATGGCCTGGAACAACTTGAATCTGAAGGTACCCTTGTCTCTGACCACATATTTTGAAAAACAAAGAAGTAGCTTTAACTTTATGTCATTGGGTTAACTGTCCTGCCACCAAAGAGTTTTTAGTAAAACCCTCTGCCTGGGGTTTCTCCCTGTGATTTTAATTACATTTACATTTAAAATGAATGTCTTAGTTGGTTCCACTATTCAGACTGGATGAGAATAGTAGATTTAAATGGAGGAACTGCATTGTTTTTTTTTTCCATCTGACTGACTGAGGAACATTTATAGGTCTACTGTCCTTTCATAACATCACTCTATGAGTACTGGGATGTTCTCTTCGTAACAACATTGAGTTACTGTCTAGAGATAAACAACTTCTTTGTTAATTAATGGTGAGAAATTCATGACAAGTTGTACTGTCTAAGGCATTGGCTTTGGCCGTGAAAAAATGCAATGGAGGCGTAGCTGCATATCAACACACAGTGAGCATGGGAGACAGCCACATGACTGCTCGAGTGAGCACCCTGAAAGGTAAGGAGTGTCAGGTTGGGGGTGCAAATGTTTGGAGTTACAGGATGCTAACTCAGAATATTGGGACACTCTTGCTAGGCAGCCAGTCATGTCTTAGCTGAACAAGGACAGCAGTACTGGGATTTTTTGTTTCCTCATTTGCAAAGAAGAGGTTCAATTGCGTGTGTAGGAGGTGGTGCTCCCTCCCACAGAGATTCATTTTACCTTGTTTTAAAATGTCATGAAGGTGTGTGTGTGTGTGTATAAGTGCATTCCGTGTGTGTGTGTGTGTGTGTGTGTGTGTGTGTGTGTGTTGATGGCCTTAGAGGCCAGAGGCATCAAATCCACTGGAATTAGAACCACAGGAAGTTGCCATGGGTGCAGAGAATCAAACTTGGGAGACTCTGCAGAAACAATACACACCCTTAAGTGCTGAGTCATCTCTCCAGGCCAAGTCTCATAGCTTTCCAGGGTTGACACTTGTAGTCTGTTCAGAGTGGCTCAGAGAATTTCTCAGAGGAATTCTGGCCCCAGAGGCTACTATCCCTGTCACGTCACATGAAGACAGATACCACATGGCTTTGGGCTCATTGTCTCATGTTTTCCGTTCCCGTGAATGCCATCTGTTAAAAAATCCTTAAATTAACCTGAGACATAGCTGGCAGCTCTACTTGGCAAGGATCATTAAATCAAAGAAAAAAATATTTGTGAATATTCTATCCTTGTAAAACTGTAGTAGTTTTCTATATTTAGTAGATGATAGCAGTTGTATTGGAATATGTGAGAATTTTTTCTGACATGACTAAAGATATCCTGGGATTTGAGATCCCTTCTACACAACTCAGTTTCAGCTTCTTTTTTGAGAACATGTTCTGTCAGGTTTTGACCTGAATTATGATTCTTGTCAAGGGTTCTGAAAGACATTTTTAGGTTAAAAAATACTCTTTCTGTTACATTGTTGGGTTTAAGGTAAGGTCTACAGGTAGATTGGCACATAATTTCACCCAAAGGCAAAGGTGCATAATATATATTAAATCACTGTGTATTAAAATAAGAATTTTAAGCTGGTGTTTAATTCTCAGAAAGCTTGAAGAAGCTATACGTATTTGAACAGATGAACCCACCGGACTCCTGGATTAATACAGACTCCCATTTCACCTTGTGTTTTCTGCGTTTACTAGGAGTGTAAATGCAGTCTGATGTATTGACTAGGGAGGCATTTTAATTTAATGACAGAATTAAAATCAGAAGGGAATTTATTCTTAATCAAATAATGCATTAGCTACGTCACATTTTCTTTAACTGCCTTTCAAGGTGGCTTTGTTTTTGAAACTGGGTATTAGTGTGTTATTCACTGATCTGGACTTAGCTATAGAATGAGTTCGAGGTCAGCCTAGGACACATCAGACTCTGTCAAAAGCAGAAAAATGTGTATTTATTTGTCTATACACTTATTTTTTGTTTTATGTGAATGTCTTCCTTCCCATGAAAAGACAGAGTCATTCCTCCAGATAACTGAGGGTATTTTGCCTCAATGTAAAATGTAAAAAAAATGCCCATATTAGATATCAGAAACCCAAGGAGACAGAACCTTGGAATTGTGCAAATTCAGAACCCACTGATCTATTTATTCTGCATGAGATAACTAAAAGCCCCAAACAGAGTAAAGATGTCATTTTCTCTTGCATCCTCATTTGTATTTCTCACACATGATGACTAAGAATATGTGCTAGTTTCTCGGAGCCTCCATAAAAGTCCCACAAGTTCAAAATGGCTTTAATTAATAGTAATCTACTACTCATGTGCCATTCTGGAGCCCCACAACACCAAGCTGAGGTGTAACTGGGCCATGGTCCCTCCAAGGCCTCTAGGTCAAGAGCTGCCTCACCGCCATCGGATTCTGGTAGCCCCAGAACCCTGCTCTACCCTCGTTCATGAAAGCCTAAGTCCAGTGTCATCATATGACTGTCTTATTTCATGCCTCTGCTACAATTTACTTCTTTTACTGGGTCATCAGTCAATGGATTAGAACCCACCATAATAGTTTCGTCTTAATTTGGTGGTATCTGGCCAGATTCTGCTTATTAATAAAGCCATGTTCATAAGTGCGACTTATTAAACCGAGGGAACGATTCCACACGTAACAGGGTTCTTCTGCCAGACAGCTTGCCAGTTGGCTCTGAGAGCAGCTGGACATCTCTGGTTGTCTGCCCCAGTGATATGAATTGGTAGGGTAAGAAGTGTGCAGGCAAGCTTTGTTTCCTTGGTCCCCCAGGAAAGCCTCCTTTTGAGACGATAAGCCACCCTCTGCATATTTAGTAAGTCTTCTACTATGTCATCAAAATGCAATTTTATTTTCAAAGAGCTAATAGTTTATTTTTCACCTTACTGGATACATTTACTTTTATGCACATTTTTTAAAAAAAAGAGAGTATTTTCAGTTTGATTTTTTAAAAAAGCATTCTATTTAGTATATCTATAGGTCTACTAGTATTACAGCATTTCTAAATACAAGCTTGTCAAATGTAACTCATAAAGACATGATAATGAGAAGTTTATATATGCAACTATTTGTTTGTAATTAAATTAATTTTTTAATATTGATGTCTATGTGCACTGAAGTACTAATTTAGATTTTCTGACTACTTTTGAAAGCACACTTGAGATTTTGGCAGGTTGTTAGGCTGAATATTTTAATGCTGATATTAAACGGAATAAGGATTAATAATACTTTAAAGCTTTTACTTTCTGCATGTTCAAAACGAATATCTGTTTTCTTTATGTAATTTAAAATCCTTCTGTGTTTTGTTTCCCAAGGAGATGGAAATTAATCTATGTTGCAAAATTACAACACTGATTCTGTAAGAAGTAGGACATTGCTTGAAAAATTCAGCATGTAGAGGCTGAAGATGTAGCTCGGTGGTAGGGTGCTTGCCTAGCACATCTAAGTTCCTGAGTTCAATCCCAAGTACTGCGAAAAGGAAAAGAATAGAAATTCAATGTTTAGAAGAATTTGCAGTGGCTCTTGTTTCTGCCAGATACTAAGTTTAAGCGAGAGCTAAGAAATCAAACACTGAGACATTGCAGGTCTTGTGATCACGCTCCTTCTGCTCTCTTATCTCCTTTGTTAAATGCCTGGATGTGGGAAACCAGTGCAGCAGAGACAGGAAGATGGAGAGACCAGGCTCTCCTGGAATGCTCGAGAGATGAAACATTGCCGGGATGCCTTATCTAGAGAAAATGAGTTCAGTGGTAGGGCTGGTCCTATTTAACGAGTGTATGAACACAGTGTTGAGACCAGGCCTTATCCCAGACAATTCCCATTTCTTTATTGTTTCAAATGGACACTGCATGCAATTTTTAATGTGATAAATGAATAGTAATCTTGTAATAAATGCAGAGATAATGGAACAGTAGTTGATTTGCTGCCGGAGGACTACCTTTCGTATATTTAATTTACTTTAATAAATATAAATTGATTCATATATAGTATAAAAACATGAAAAAACAGACATTTCTCTCTACAGATGACATAAGGATTTCAGGAGAAAGTAATATTTTTTTGTTTTTTTTTTTGAGGTAGAATTTCACTTTGTGTCCCTGTCTTGCCTGAAACTGTCTTTATAGACCAGGCTGGCTTTGAACTCACAGAAATCCTCCAACTTCTGCCTCACAAGAACAGGAACAGAAGGTTGTGCTTGGAAAGGAGGCCTTTATCCCAGCAACTGAGATGAGACTTCTGGCAATGTGATAGCCTTCTTGCAGTTTGACTACAGTCAAAAGGCTTCTTCTATTTTGTTGGTTAGTTAGTAAGCAATTTGGAAGTGCTCTAAGAGGCAGTATAGAACAGTTTCTCAGATACTTTACTTGAAATCTCCATGGAGGACACTGAAGGGGTCCTTTGACTTAAAATATTATTTAATTGGGATGGGTGTTTTGCCTGCATGAATGTATGGGCACCCCACAGATGCTTGGTGCCCACAGAGACTGGAAAAGAGTTGGATCCCCTTACACTGAGTTGCACATGGCCGTGAGCTGCCATGTGGATGTCAGGAATTGACCCAGGTCCTCTGCAGAAGCAGCCAGTGCTCTTGGCCTATGAGCCGTTTCTCCAGCCCTCTGTGCATCATTTGTAAGGGTTTTCTGTGGCAGATTTTGAAACGCAGATTGCTGGCCATTTCAGTTATCGATTGCCTCCTCTTAGGGTAGGTCTTTTTGTTGTCCTGCCCCGAAGTCATCGTGCTTCCTTAGGCATCCATGACAGACCCTTCCTGAGCATCTGTCAGCAGCCAAGGGTGGCACAACCAATCCCTTGTCACTCAGAATGGCTGCCACACACTTGCTAGTAATGTTCATTTGGTCAGTGGTATTTCAAAAATATTTGAAATTAAAATTATGATGGGCTACTGTGATGTTATATCCACAAACTCTGCCACTGAAGAAAGACAGATGACCTTTGTTCTACTTTTCTGGTATGTTTTCTTACCACAGGGAATTATTTATTAGTATACCTACACAATTCAGCAACATCGTTGCTGCAGAGTTGATGTCCTCCATTGGCCGATGTGTGTGTTTGTGTGTGTGTGTGTGTGTGTGTATGTACATGTATGCATGTGCAACTATATGTACATGTATGCATGTGCACTTGCCCAACTCAATACTGCTTGGTGTGATCATCTTTAGTCATTCAAGAACACACTCTGTGAAGACTCATGTTGAACAAAGGGTTTTATTTTGGTTATATCTTGCAGTCTAGCAGTATTATTTAGTCATCTGGTTATGCATGCATTTGGGAGGTATTTGGCAATTCAGGGAATACCAAGAAGAATTAGAGATTGAGCCTGACTTAATGCAGAGCACAGTTTTAGTAGAAAATATACAATAGATGTGCAAATAACACAATGCAAGGTAAAAGGTCCAGGCT